GTAAATATGTCTTCTGGTTACCGCGGGGTTTTACACAAAGAGGTAAGTCTCACAATGATCTATATATTAAGGAAGCAACATGTCAGAGTAGTAGCATCACGATAAAATGAAGTTATGAGAAGTCGAGTGGCCGTAATAGGAATGGTGGGCGATGTATTGCTTGTGGTCGTTGACGAAGAAAATTTATACAAAATAACAAAGCACTTTATTAACCATCGCCAACCGTCGGTGACATATGAGAATCAAATTAATTTCCCGTAGCTTATTTCTAGCAAAATAATTAACTAGCGATGTGGAGCTAACCGCGACCTGCCGGAACCGACGTCTATTTCTGCATGGGCAGAAACATTCTCACTACTCGTCATTTTAATTTGCGCCACTGAAGTTAACTGATGACGTTTATACTTTTAATTAAAGGTAGTAGTATATGAACCCGGTCACAGACGAGTGTCTCGTCCAAACTTTCTCGTCATAACTTTCCCATCCAAACAGACGGGGGAGTTGGACGGGAATCCCGTCTTGACCGAGAAACACTTGCCTTAGATGTAGACGAGTCTCTAAAATATTAACATAGTCAAGGACGGGACAAGGCTAAGGGAAAATAGATAAGTTTATACGTATGATGGGTCGGGTAGTGCATGCTAAAAAAGGTATCGTAATTATTACGATTTTTTAAGCACCAACCCTGCTTTTGACGTCACGTAATTAAATCTCGTTAGAAAACAAGGTGGCGGGTATTTAAGGTTAGAACTGTTATGAGTGTCAATCATTGGAAATCCATGCTTCGTTGTAGGCTGTCATTTTTTAATAAACCATGATTTTTATGGGTTTTTGCGAATAAATTATGATTCCCACTCTCTCGCCAGGCAACAAGAAACTACGTGATTGGTTTTGACCAATCGCGTGAGTAGATTTAGGCCAATGCACGAAGATTGTATATTGATCACCAATATCTTGCCCTGAAAGTAAGGATGGTAAACAAATTTATAAAAAGTGTAAATTTTCTTCTAAACAACGCAAAAATAATTTTTGGTGCCATAGGGTATACCCTTTATTTTAATTAATTAATTACACAATAAAATTAAACTAGGCTAAAAGTAAAAATGCATAAATAACATTTACGATTTAAAGATTATTTACACATCATATAAAGGTCTGTTCATACGATCCAATTTTTTTGGATCCTTTCACTTCTGATGGATGTTTTATATAGTCTGTTGTCTTGTACTGTATGTGAGCATCAAATCCACTGCAACCAATGCAGTACTGCTTCATCAATAACCGACTATATTTCATACGTCAGAAGTGATTTGGATCCAACAAAATTGGATCGTGTGAACAGACCTTATTAAGAATGTGTCGAACGTAATGTTAAGAGCTAAGTCATTGAGTTTATGTTCATTTGCATTCGATTCCGGCACATGAAAAGCTCTACGTCTGAAATAAACGGGCCTAATTTTGAATGTTATGACAACCAGTTCTGCAATTCTCTACCATCCTTGTTTTCCTTCTTTAAGACGTTTGGCAACTTCAAATGGTAACTTTACACCACGCATTAGGAATTCGTTCACGTCCTTAAGCGGTTCTATGCACACTTCAAACGGTGAGAGGCAAACATACCATCCAGCAGCAAAAAATCCTATAGGCCAAGCAAGGAACCAGAGAACAAGCAGCCAAATGATTACCCAAAGAGGATTCATGATTAATTGAAAGCTTTGCTACAACAAAACGAAGTATAGCAATATTCTTGTTTATAGCTGTATATTACAATGAAATTACATTCGAATAACCGACTGTTTCAAGTGCATGAAGCAGGAAAGACACTTTTAAACTTTCCAAAATTGCGTCTAGAAACATTTTCTCAACGTGCATGTCTTGTGAAGAAAAATTATACGATGTGCCAACTAGGCTGGAAAAATTGATAGCCAATATCCTGTGTACTCACCTGTATACTCTAATAGTACTCAGTTCCCAGAAATCTTTCAACAAGTCTAAGTGAAGTTCTACTGATTTCTATTTAAAACAGTCGATAAACTGCTGTCGGTGTAAATTTCATTTAGTTTATATAGTTTATAGTTCTTCTATAAGTAAGCATCGTTTGAAAACTGTGTTGTGTGTGTAAACAAAGTTTCCGCAGGTACCAGGCATAGGGTGTTGTCATGGCAGACGTGATGCAAATATAAAGTTAATATATGCATGTATGTCCACTGATTACCTCCGTAAAATCAAAGCAATTTCAATATATTGCCATCTATATCTATGCGCATGCTCCCAAAAAGTATTCAAAAATCAAATTTCAATGATGTTCACAAAACACCACTATTCTTGAGCCCTTCGCTAGGATGTTATGATTTTTTATAACATTACATCGACTTTCTGGCATGCCAATGCGATTATTCACCTTTTGTAGTTTGTACTGATATCCGGAATATTAGCTACGATTGTGTTTCTCTGTTTATTAATTAACACAAAGTCTTTCTATACGCATGCATGACAATCAGTTTCAAAACCAATAATATTGATGGGCGTAAATGCGCGTAATAATTTAGCGGCAAATTTTTAGGCAAAACCGAATTACTTTGATGGAAATCATTTTGTAAATTGGCATTATTTGAATTCTATGACATGGGCTAAAAAACGGACGTATATATATATATGCGTACGTGTACAGCAGTAGGGGTCGGTTCAACCATTACTTATCAACCATTTATTAGCTATTCAGCTTTTCTCGAAACTGAGATTGCGGCATTTGCATTGCATTATATTGTTTATACACAGAGATAAGATATAATTGCCCACACGATGAGAGTCATTCCAAGACAAGAAATTGCAAAAAAAATTTAAAATAAAACACAAAACGCGTATACAAACATCTTCCACCAAAACATCTTGTTGAACAAAATCATGAACCTATTTTGAAGTCATTTTTAACTCACTAATTTTTTTAAAATAGTGCCGTGGGGCACTATTTTCACTTCCCTTCAAGTCATTGGGCACCTCTATTTTCAAAAAGTGCACATTCTCGCTCCCTCTGCTCTAAGTGGGGGTGATTGCTATACTACGACAAAATGGACAAATAGTCCTTTTCACGTGTTTCCGAAGGGGTCTTTGTCGTGTCAGCCGTCAAGTCTTTTACTTCATGCGTTTGTGTACATTGGTTTAAGGAATTCCGTAGAGTAGCCGGTTTGTGTAAACCTCTTACGCTCAATTGTTGCCGTTTGTAAATAGTGTCTCGCGTGCTAGTTTATATAACACTCACAAGTCACAACCATTTTTATCTCCTACAAAATTTACCTCCTAAAATCTATAAATCTGACCTCTACCATGCAGAAAGGGGAAACGTCGTCGGGGTGGCAAAAGGGGTAGATCCCCCCTCCCCCTAGAAAAAACATAACTTGTAATCTTCCTTTTTGCGATATAAGTTATTAGTAAACTAAATGTATATATAAACTCAGCCGTTGGCATGAAGTTGCATGGAAATTTTGTTATTTCGGCCAATTTTGGAGTAAAACAAGAAATCTTGATTTGATAAATAACAAATGTCAAGTTTGTTTCATATAAAAGAATCACATTTCGAGTTCAGCAATATGTAGACAATATAACAATAGCGCATGCAATCGGCAAAACTGTGTCAAAAGTCAATACAGTTGTCAGTCAGTGTGGAGTGCATGACTTTCCAATATATATCAGAGTTTGTTTTTGTACAATAATGACGATGTCGGACGTAAATTACTGTTTGCTTGACGCTTGATCAGATCATAATCAAAGCATAATCAAACTGAAATCGCACCGCAGTTAATTGCATTAACGGCTGCCAATATTCAATGATAAACCCACACAACCAATGACTCGATTTAAAAAACATCCATCGTAAAAAAGCTACGCGAAATCTATACAAAATTTTCAACTTCAACGTAGATCATACGTAATTGATCTTATTCTGTTCAAGATCCTTGTCGAATCCAACAAAAATACCCGTGTTTTGACGTAGTACATTCATTTTTTGTTAGCATTTAGCTTCTTGCTGATAATGGTAAACCACAGTTCAAATTCAAATTTAAGTAAATGATTAAAAATACAAGGATGGCAAGCACATATATGGACTACATTTTTTTGCTTAGATGTTAACTAAGCTATATATATTAGCTATATATGTTAACTATAAAGTAGTACATAGACAATTACCCAGCACTATATATAATCATTTCCTGTTTTTTACCCCTCTATATATATTATTGTGGATTTTGCCAGTGATCTTGTGGATTCGTGCATAGATAACCAAGAAAAATCAATATTGATTTTATGCTTTCTATACTCGTATTTATATATTCATATTTTAACCAAAATTCTTGAGAATCCATATATTCTTGAGAATACATATATCTTAAATTTATATTCTATTCAAATAAATCAGATGACTATATAATATACAAAACACATGCCCGTTTAAGAGATATTAAACCGCGCTTTCTGCCCAGCATTGACGTCAATTTAGACTTCCTACTATATATGTACTACTTCCGAGTGCCTGACGTTTGATTTTGCAAGACGCTATATTGCAAAGGTGTTCCTATTGTTAACAACGGTTCTATATTTTCGGATCATAAAAGAAAGCTGGCCGAATATTGGGATAAATGAAATAAATACTAAATAAATAATGAGCGCTATTCTTAGCCAACAGACACAAAAGTCAGCAGTTGTGGCTTTACATCGAGAAAAATGAGTGTGGTTAATCTCGGTTGGATTGAAACGACTGGAAAGCATGTGATGCACAATCATAAATTCTGACAAGAGGGGAGAGACAACCGGAGTATTTCATTATTTTCAATCAGGAGGAACGACGCGTGCTTATATGTCATAAAGCTGGATTCAGAGGACTATTGGTTGAACGAAACTTATGCATAGCTAAAGTGTAAAATCCCGTCAAGACTATTTAAAAAATACTGATAATTCATTCAAGGTTTCGCTATTGTACAATATTCTACAAGTTATATACTGGAATGAATGCTACCGGATCCGCAAGCTCCGACAATTTACCTTTTTCAGCAAAATTGTGGCTTTCCATAATTCTTATTTTACTCAATGTGTTTACAGTTTTAGCCAATCTTCTTGTAATTGGAATAGTTTTGGGAAACCATCGGCTACGGAAATGTACAAACTATCTTGTAGTCAATCTAGGTTTTGCAGACCTGCTGTTTGCTTGTACGTCCTATCCATTCGTCATAGGATCTTTAGTGGACAGCAAACAGAGCACGAACTTCAAGCTTTGTCAGTTTGTGGGATTCTCGGACTCATTTTATGCTACATCAGCATCGTTCTCCGTGGCAATCATCGCATATGAACGGTATTATTCTATAATCCACTGCTTACACTATGAACAATCCATGATGAACCGAAAGACGAAGCCTGTTATTTTAGCCGTTTGGATAGCCTCACTGTTGATCTCTTTGGCACCTTTACTTAGCTGGGGAGATTATAGCTACGAGAGATATCAGTACAAGTGCACTTTAGGCTTTATGTACGATAAGGGATATTTCTTCCTCAAAATCATTCTGACATTCATCATTCCTCTAACAGTCATGTTAGTTTGTTATAACTGGATATTCATGGTCGCAAAACGCCACGCAGCGAGCATAACTAGCATCGAAATTCGAGTTCAAAATGATCTAGTCCACGGCGCAAAACGAAATAATTTGAACAAGAAGCATCACACAGGATCAGTCTTTATCACGATAGTGGTTTATATCGTTTGTTGGCTACCAATAAACATCCTGTATCTCTTAAAGAATCTTAAACCATCAATAGCTATTCCAAGCCTAGCGCTCACCGCCAGTTGCATGTTATCATTACTGTCAAGCAGCATCAACCCGATCGTGTATGCTTTGGTCACGGGAAAATTTAGGAAGGGATTCGCAAGGTTGTGTAACAAACTAAGATCTCGAAAAAAATCAGTGACACCCTGCAAGAGAACATCCCCTGGGACATGGACATTATCAAGTGCTAGATTCTCAAGACGTGGTTCAACTTCACATGCGAAGTTTCTCTACAGAAGTGAAAATAACGTGGATAAGGCAATTGAACTGGACGCAGGCGCCAAGCAGTCGGGTGTTCTGTTGGATGTGCAGAATTTGGAAAAAGGACCACGCCTTTTGAGTCCAATCGAAATTAGTGACAACTTGTTGTCTGTATCAAAACGAAGTTCGCCGACAGAAACAAGACCAAAATCGAATCTAGAAGCTGACAATAATGACGCTGTTAATTCTTGCTAGAACTTAGGGTCTGTATACACATTTCATGCGAACGACGGGTCATGCAGGTTCTCCTGAATGTTACAATCGTGGAACTATATCAGTGTTGGTCACATGACGTTAATTTTGTATTACTGTAATAGGTCGTTCAAGATTATCAATACAAAATAGGCTTGTCATGCCGCGACGTAAAATATTTACAGAACTGTAGGGACGGCGAGTCGATCCAAAGGCAAGGGGGCATTTCGTGAAAGGGCACTTCGAATTGACACATTATAGAGAGTGTTTGCAAAATATCTCCGGTTGAATTTGGTCTCATGTTGTTTTCTCTTTGTTATATTATTTCGGTGTCCGGGGGGTTTCCGCGATACTGTTTTGTTATTCTTGAAGTTGTGTCGACTCTAGAGCAGAATTATTTATCAAAAAGTTTCAATGCAAACTTAAATTGAAAAGCACTTTGTCCTGCCCCCCTGTCGCCGTGCTGGTTAAATAAATAGCAACAGGGGAAGTCTGGCTGTGGTCCACGGTACCATATTCCTGCAGAACTGTATACTTCGTGAAACTACGTGGAATATCAAAGATGACATGAATGATATGTTTACTAATTTAGATCGTTTTTAAATTATCAAGACCTCGAAAGATAACAATAAAACCTGGGGCATGGAAAGGCTTGCAATATAGAGGTATTACGTACTTTCCCTAGTTACTACTGTATACTACATTCATGTACATCAGATTAGTTTTATAAAATTACAGTTTTTATTTTCTCGGTTCAGTGTTGTTAAAGTTTTAGTTACTTGCAAGAGACTATGCTAGCAAAACTGAAAACTACTCTGGTTCATGTCTAAATTAATCTAGATTATAAATAATAGTTTAAACATATGTAAATATTACTATATTATTAATAATCTAGTACATGCTTTACACAAACAGAGCAACCAAATTTTCATTCAAGTTGACACTGGAATTGGTTCATAGTTATCTCGATAACCAACAAGTTTTATTTCTAACCTACTATTGCATAACTCTTTTGTAAATGTTAATACCAAGATCAGGAAATTGAATACCAAAACCCATTCAAAGGCATTACCAACCACATGGGCTGTATAACCTGGGTCATCTGAATGCCAATAAAACTTATTGCCATCCCACAATCTTGCTGCGTAAGACGTCAGGATTAAAAAAGCAAGAAGACTTAAGGTGGAGATTACAGAAACTACTGTTCTCACAATGCAGACATAGACAGATACCAATCCAAATTTCTTCATATAAAAAGACATTCGAACTTGGATCCAGGCATAGATATTTCCGAATACAAAGAATATACCTGCACCAACATCATGAACAGCCTCTATTTGTGTTTCCTAAAAATATAAAATGGTATATACTTAATGAAAGTTAATAAAATATTAGAGATAATTCAAATCTGTTAATTTATGAGATAATAATCATAAAAGAAAAAAGTTAAGTCAAGTAATATAAACAGACCTAATCAGCCAAATCAGGATAGGTAATTTATCTTGACTCTTTAATACATTCATACTATTGTGGCAATATTTCATACAATTTAGGACTTTAGGTATTTCCACAGTCCACACTATATACAGACTTCTTTTATAATGTAATAGCCCTACCAAACCTACTAAACCTGAGTTTCCACAACAAGTGCCCTTGTTACAATGGGCTGAAAAATGATATTTTAATCAGATGTGACTGTTACATGAGATATAGTTACAGGGTATACCTCAGGAAAGACCTATATTGGTAAGCACACCTTATTATACTTGTACTACCAAAGTTAGCTGTGGAAAATTTTCTGAGACTTCTAGATCATCACAAATGGCCTCTCTAATAACCTTTCTGATTCTACAAAGTTTACATTTTTTTGTCCTAATCATGGTATGCATAAAGGGCACCTGATTTCATCGACGCTCTTCAGAGCAAAATTAGAGCTGCAGCTGCTCACAGTTCAAAGGAACAATCATTAGACGAAAGTCACGAAACATTTCGCATTTCCCGAAGCAAAAGTGCCGGTGAAACCAATCATTGACATTTACTTGTTTAAAATTTAAACATTTAGTTATTTGCTTACAGGAAAATTTGCCACAATACTTGCTCCAAAGATGGCCAATAAGCCAAAGAACAAACTCCAACAATTCCTAGCCAAGAGGCCACGGCTCCCCATCAAATAACCAACATCACGTTTCACTTGCAAAAAACGAACATAGACTAAAACAAAGCCGACAAACGTGGAAATATTCATTAACTGTGAGAACACATTACTCTCCGGAGATTTTGTTGCTGTGTCACTGATAGCAGGAAACCATGGTGTTATGTCACTTCGCGCAACAGCTATCACAAACGAAATTGAAATTGTTATAGCTAAAACTCCCGAGAAGCAAACGGGGAGAAGATCGGTAGTACAGCAGCTCCGTCGAAACATTTTATCGTATCATACACATGCAACAATAGACGGCACGCAACCTTCGATCCGTTTTTATCAGACAATTCACTTCTAAGAAATAAAGAGGTATACGATATTGCTTTTCTGTTTCACTTTTTTCCATCTACCAGACCGATGTTACGCAATTTTCTCAGTTTTTGATTTTAAAATTTTAAAACAACACTTCTTAGATGTTAATTGATCACATAAACTTTGTTTTGGAGTGATTCATTTAGTTGTGGTTATAGTGCAAGGATGCTCATTTCAGTTGTCGTATATTTTGTAATTTGTATTTTCATTTTGACATTTCTTCACTACTTCAGAAGAATTCAGAAGTGACTTCAGAAGTGACGTCATGTCATTACGAGAGATGGCTTCTCCGTAACAGACATTGAATAGTACGGTTGTAGTACGTGCTAGAATAAACAGCTTACCAAAGGCCGATTCCACTGTCGTATTTCTATAGTGATGAGTGCGCTGTTAAAGTGTTACTCTGCACTCTCGAAAATTCTTAGCAGGAGAAAATGGTCTGAATGGATATCATACAACGTCCCATCCAGTTAATTTGAGATCAGACCAATTGTTTTACTAATATTATGTCATGCAGTCGGGTGTTGTCATGTGATTCATTGCTAAATTCGAAAGTGTATACTAATTGTCTAACTCAAATATTCCTTCGTCCTCACATTTGAATAAGATGAGCGGGAGATGTCCTTGCGGTGCGAACTATCTCCCAGTTTTATTTGCTAGTATTCTGTTTATATCGATAATTACGTCGTTCGTTATAGCTGTTGCGCGAAGTGACATAACACCATGGTTTCCTGCTATCAGTGACACAGCAACAAAAACTCCTGAGAGTAATGTATTCTCACAGTTGGTTAACATTGCAACATTTATTGGTTTGATATTGATTTATGTTCGTTATCTGCAAGTAAAACGAGATGTTCAATTGCTGGAAGGAGGTCAAAATCCAGTTATTTTGAATCGATACAGTTTACCTATAGGATTGATTGCCATACTGGGATGCAGCTTTGTAGCAAACTTTCCGGTAAGTTTTCTAACATGATTACCACAAAATATTTGAATTATTAACCAGTCCTAATGGCGAGGAAGTCCTATTGGTGAGAAGTGCAGTCAGCAATCGTTGTATTGAAATCAGGCCCGTCGGAAGTCAGAACTAGCATCAACTAGGGACTCCACCCAATAATTTTAACATACCGTGGGTATTTCCACTTAGCTAGTTTGTTAAGGTTAAGCATACAAGTCCAAAAGCGATAGAAAACCTTTTAGTTGCTGTACAATGAATCATATTTGGCAATGTACGACCTGAGGGTCAAACTGAGGAGGTCCCAAATTGCAGCTCCCAGATCCAAATTTTATTCCAATAGGCCTGAACTGAGCCATTGAGTGTACCCACTCTTTAATTTTTTGGTTGTTTTTAGGAGTGCCAGGTTCCAATTGTTCACATCATTGGTGCCATGGTGCTATTCATATTTGGAAATATATATGTGTGGGTTCAAGTGGTTGTATCATTCCATATGAAAAGATTTGGAATCATAAGTCAATGCATCTTTAACACAAGACTTATTTTGGCTATACTTTCAACAATAAGCTTTTTTTTAACTTTATTTATTGTACATGCTGCCACCAAGAAGACTGGAAGTAATTTACATTGGCATTCCAGTGATCCAGGGTTCAAGGAACATATTGTTGGTAATGTATTTGAGTGGGTGATGGTATTTTGTTTCCTGTTGGTTTTTCTTACATTTACACGAGAACTACAACAAAACCAAATACAGGTTCGTCTTGTGGATTATGAAGCCAGTTATGATCCCATCCCAGTACAACCAGAAAATATATAAGTTATAGCAAATTGGTCTTCTTTGATTACCATATATAGAATGCTTCCAACCAATTATCATAGGCTAAAGCTGCTATTGTAAGAATACACTATACTTTAATGTAATAAATCATGTGATGCTTAATATTTGTAAATGTAATGATAGAAGAATATCTTGTAGACAATATCAATGTAAAAGAACACAATTAACCTTGTGAAGATTCAGCTATACATGATGATCCTATAACTAGTCAGCACATAAGCAGATGTTGTGCATTGATTGTTTTTGATACAATAAAAAAGTAGTATATCTGGACTTCTTTTTGCTTCAGCCTTTCACCAACATTTTTTCTTTCAGACTCAACATTTTTAAAGACTCCCTAAAACCCTAACCATAAAACCGCTAATCTAACTTGAACCTAAGTCTCTAAATCCCCTCTTTTTATCTTAGTCCCATAATCTTAAGCCCTCTAACCCTAGGTGTTGATATCAAAAGCTACTTTGAATTTAAAATTTCAAACCCTGGATCTTTAACTGTTACCCCAAAAGACCCTTTTTAACGGTTGGCTTTAAGTGCGATAACAAGTATATCACGAGGTCAGGGACTAAAATTAGTAAAATGTCCTGGTTCCTGTGACCCTGTCAGCTTTGCACCATCAAGCCAAACATGCATTTTTAATACATAAGAATTAAGAAATGCCTGCGGAGGAGGCTAACAGCTCTGTGGTGTCGGTGAGCTGTTCCAGTGTTCCTGTCCGACCTGTCGGTGTTGTTCGTGCGAGAACTGAGAACCATGGTGAGAAAATTTGGTGAGAACCGGAAGACAAAAAAATTTTAAAATGTCTTCCCGCCAAACGTCGGAAACCATTAAACTTGAAAGTTGAAACTTTGAAATTTTAGACCTAATTTTCTAATGGCAAGTGCATACGAAGAGAAATTGAATTTACCAACATTAACGAGAGCAAACGAGGCAAACAAAAAGGGCAATGTATATGAACAACCTGGTTACTTTGAGTTCCCCTTCACACCTTATGACATTCAAATAAAATTCATGCAAAACTTGTATTCAATCTTACATATCGGTGGAGTAGGGATCTTCGAGAGTCCAACAGGAACCGTGAGTTTATAAATAGCAAGTTGAAGTATAAAGGTCTACAATATGTTGCAAATCAACACATTCAAATATAATTATTTTGATATATGAACAGATTAACAAAAAACATACTGGCTAGTATACGCCTCCAACCTTTTTCCTCACTAGTATATGTAACACTATCTTTCATTTATAGAATGAAATGCCTTACATATTTAATAATAGTAAATATATTTAAAATACTTTATATATCTATATTTATAAACTATAAATTAAGATATAACTATTTATTTTGCATTTAGCCACATAATTATCTACCTGAAATCACCTAAAACTAACTAATCCCAAGTAAATGAATTTGGTTTCATAGATATTTTGAAAATGGATCGACTGCAAGGTGCCAGTATAATGACTTTCAGTCTTTCACTGGCAACCATCACATGCATGCATATGTGAATTAAACTGTTTAAAAATTTTATTTTGCTTAATTGAGTTTAGGTTGCTTTCTATAAGTCATTTGATATGTGGTAGGCATAGCTATTGACTACACAGGTAATTATCTGGGCACACATGTGACATTGCTGTTTCTTCTGGCTTCATATTGTGCATGTAACAAAATAAAATAGCATGGTCATGTGTGTGACCAGAGAATCACACACATATCAATTATCTTTTCCTAATAGTTATTTCAGGAGTAATTTAAACAATTCATAACTCAGTAATATATTTATATAGTACCATACTTAAATTAATGCATACATGTCATATCTAACATTTATGCTACGTACAAACCATGATTTTTAGTTACAAATGCAGGATAATTGCATCCTATATATTTGATTTAATTATAGGGAAAATCATTAAGTCTAATATGTGGTGCTTTAACATGGTTGAGAGATTTCAATCAAAATTCCAAAAGAGAAACAGTGACCACTGGCACAGTTGATGATATTATTTGTGCAAGGTATATTTATCAACATTCAATATTGTCAAAAATATAAATGTTTAGGTAGATAAAGATGAAATCAAACAGCATTAATAGTGATTATAAGGATTTAACATTGCTTTACAGTGACATAGCAACACAGGGAACATCTGAAAGTATTAAAAGTTCAGGTATTTTCATGCTTGAGTATATCAATCTTTATATGTGTATATCTGTATATGTTTGAATTGAAACTTCAGTGAATATCAGTGAATAGTTATACTCTTAGAAAACACCCGTCCCTCTGTCCAAATTCTTGGTACACCCTTGTAGGCAAATTCAACCAAATAGTTTCCAGATTGGTTGAATTGTAGGCTGATATATGTGTTGCCTCTTTATAGCACAAGTATCAGGCAATAAAAACCCACATTTATGCATACTATTAAATGTTAAGCTTTCCAAAGTCTAGAAATGACTGCAAACTTTGCACATTTTTAAATTTAGTTCCATCTTGGGTGTCGGAAGTTGCCACAAATAGAGAAAGAAAAATGCTGCTTGAACAGGCAAAGGTAAGAGGCTGTGACTGCAATATGTTTACAGTAGTACTAATTGTTTTAAAATGCAGTAAATGTATCCATATTATTCTTATTGATAGTTAATTGATAGTTATTAATCAGTCAGCTGATAAATTGTTCTAGTTTTGCATATTTGTAATCTTATACATATGTGTATTTTTTTAATTATTTTGTGTGTATATTCTTGTGCAGGCTGAACAAGAAAAAGAAGAAAGATATTCTGAGAGACTTAAATTACTAAAGCAGCAAAGACATTGGAAACGACAAAAGCGAAAGGTAATTGCAACTGCATGCAACGACAGGGACAGGGACATAAAAGAAGGGCATTATTGGAAAGTGTTAAGTTGGAGAGGGATCAAGGAGTCCTCCCCCAGCTTTTTAAGGGGGCATTTTAAAGTATCCATGCAATCATTGCAAGGTTTATTGAGAGAATATATACTTTCTTATGAACATGGTTATTTTGCTAATATTTACACCAAAAGGGACCTGCGTCCGCTTACGTTATTGTGGGGGACATTGGTTTCGCGGTTGCTACTACGTGCTACCTCAAAACCTCCATTTCCTACACTATATGATACTGCACTATTAACATTACATAACAATTCCTTTAATACATATACAATTTACGACCATAACACTATACATAATTTGCGCATACTATGTAAATGACTGTATACTCAACCATGCGTTAACCTAAATTCCGCAACAGAACAAGGTGCACTGGCAGGACATTGCCCCACAGCAGCTAACCTGCTAAAACAGGTCCTGTGCAACGGAGCTAGTGAATTCGACTCTGAAATAGTGTGCATTGCCAGTGTAATATAACGGAAGAGGCCTGAATTCGGAGTACAGTAGGCATTGCTTTACAGTTTGTACATCCTTATTAAAACTTGTGAAAGTATATGATTGATTGATTTTGATTGATTGATTGAATTTAATAATCGTAATTTGCAGTTAGTAAAAACTAAATTATATACGATGTACATAAAAGACACCTAAAAGTATATGCATGTATGCATAAGTTTAACTAAATCTAATATATAATTATCTTACAATTATAACAAATTAGGCTATTGTTCGAGACTGTTAGCGATTATGAAGGAGTTCTTATACCGATCAGTTCGAATTCGAGGTAGAGAGAATTTTCTACATCGTCTTAGGGAATATTTACAAATTTTTTCCTGAGGAACTAACGAATTTAATTTATGATCTCTATCTTGGGCTTGTTCAAAGAGTTTGTGACACGCAGCAGATCTTCGATCAAACAATGAATCCAACTTCGAAATGTTAATAGCGTCATCATAACCGTGGTCCGGATATACTCTTCTCAAAAACCGTTTTTGTACCCTCTCAATCTCGTTGCTTAGGTACACCGGCAACGAGTTGTGAAAAACAGGTGACGCGTATTCCAAAATCGACCGTATACATGCACACATTATTATGTCTTCGATAGGGACATTTGCTCGTTTAAGTTGTGTTATCAGATATAATCTCTTGGTAGCTTTCGACACAATTTGCTCCACATGTGCTCTCCACTTTAGATCACTGCTGACTGTAAGTCCAAGGACCTTAGCATGGTTCACTATTTCGAGTTCTTTTCCATTGACCAGTAATGGGGCTAGCGTATTGCCATGATTATTATTCCTAGAAAAATCAATTCTGAGTTCTTTACTTTTATCTTCGTTAAGTTCAGCTAGGTTGGTTATAGTCCAATTTTGAACATCATCAACATATGTTACAAACCTCCGCCGTGGTCTGTTTGTCCAACTTTAATTGTTGAGACTAGAATTTCTAGTAGAGTATAACATGGCATTTCTTAATATAGCACGAGACTCAAGAAAATCGTGACGATGATGAAATAGAGCAACGGTTGACTGCTGAATTGAATGAATTAGATAAAAATAACGAAGATTCTGACATTGTCCTGGATGAGTATCATAGTGATAACGAGTGCGGTAAAGTGGATGCCAGGTACGTGCATGTGAACAGTTTTTCAGCAGCATATTCGTCATATACAGGTACATCGATTTAATTCGCTATGAAGCATTTCAATTTTGTCCAATGCAAACTTTTAGTTTGACAATTAAGTTTAAATATCAACACTGACTGCATGTGTGTGTGAAAATGTGAAATAGATTGATTGAACTGCTGTGAAAACGTGACCTCCAAGAATGAAGGACCACAACATATAATACATGTTTTATTGTAATACCTAGTTCTGATGAAGAAGAATTGGATGAGCCGTACGTTACAAAGGTACTGATCCCACTCGTTATGTTATTGCTATGGAATTTTTGGGAGTCGCATCTAATGCAATACAGCGAAATTAATCCTCTTAAAATCAAAGTTCTAACTAAGTCGAAACTTATCGCATGATTGTTCTTAGTACTCAAACTAGTTTTTCCATGTCTGCATGATTTTGATCATGAAATTACCATTCTATCTTTCTTAAAGATTTATTACTGTAGCCGAACGCATTCACAGCTTGATCAATTTGTTAAAGAAGTTAAGAAGAGTAGTTTTGGCTCGAACACTCGGGTTGTATCGCTAGGTTCCAGACTTGTAAGTGTTGAATCATTATTAAAGCATGCCTTTCCGAGCATAAGACTGTTGATTAGTTATTGACTGCCCATTTAAATGACGCGCAAAAAACCGAACCACCTCGTAGCCAACATCCATTCATGACCGTTGCCACTGTTGTGGAGTCGCATGAGGAACGCTTCGAAAAGTATTGAGCAATCCATTTGTTTACATCAGTTTATTCACAGACTTTATTGATTAACTTTGTGTTCATTTATCAACCTGAATTGCTCAGTAAAAGACGAATTTCAATGGCTGCTGAAAAAATAACTTCTTATTGCCAAAAAAAAGCAAGATTGCTCAATTACAATAGTTGCCATTGTAGACACGGTTACCGAATGCTGGGTGTTTTTTCAGCGTATGGCAAATACTTTTTGTTAATATTTTCTCAAGAATTTGTGCATAAATGACGATGTGAAAAAATTACGGAGTATCAATCGTGTCAATGAGAGATGTTTGGAGTTACAGAAACGTAAAAAAGGTGAAATAGTTTGGTCTTTGTTTAGTAATGCACCTTTCAATAATGTAACAAGACTATCAAAGTGCAAGACCTCAGTATAGGACCACCTACTATGCCTGAGTATACTTTTCTTCGATTTTTGTCTTGTGAAACATATTGAAAGTGAAAAAAACTTTACGAGAAACATTTGGTATACTAAATAGGTTGAATAATATGTAAACTTCGACAGTAATACTGAATGTATTTGTGTATAATATTTTAATTTTAAAATAGAAAAAAAGAAAGAGGAATCGCAATCAAACAAGAAGCTCAAGTCTAAAAATGGTTGTCCTTATTACGATCATCAACGCCTTCAAAACTACAAAGATCTTATTTTGGTAAATGACCAGTATTTCTGTATTATTTTAAATTCTACACTGCTCTAGTATTTATTCCCCTTTTAATTCCAATCTCTCGATAACGACAGCGGGTATTTTTATTGATTACTGCACAATTGAAGCAGTCGATAACATGGCTTTCATTGCGCAAGACACTATTGAGACAACCATCGATACAACGATACCGCAACTTTGCCTCGATGCAGCGAGTTATTAAAAGAATGATTCGTTCTATAATGTCGATTATAATTTGTAATAACATCGATATTTTACTGTGAAGATGGAAGTTAAAGATGTCGAAGAATTAATATCAGTCGGTGAAGAAATAGAAGGTTGTCCTTATTATGGAACTCGATATGCAATTCCTAAGGCAGAGGTGAGAAATTGCTCAACAAACATGTTCCACTGATATTGTTGCAATAATGGAAGATAATGTGAAACATTCAACGAGATGTAACGCAGCAGTATATTTACTCTAAATCCTCTTAATCGTGATGGAGAACAACAGTCGTACTTAGAAAATAAATTCACGTGAAATCCGCATTTGTGAAATCTTAATTTTTGACTTTGAAATCTTTATTTGCCAACCCATATAGCCTTTGCGAGGCAGCACTTGCCTGCCATAGTAACTCCTAGTTTGCAATATTGTGTCTTCCTTCTTTAAAGCTGATCGTCCTGCTCTACAACATGCTTCTTCATCAAGCAGCACATGACTTTTATAGGGCGAGACACACCTTGCGATATTACGTTACTCCTAGTTTGTAATATTGTGTCTTATTGCTCTATAGCTGGTCGTCTTACCCTACAACATGCTTCTTCATCAAGCAGCTCGTGAAGCATGTGGCATAAGGTTAAAAGGAAATGTAGTAATTATTGATGAGGCACACAACTTGATTGAAACTATCAGCAACATACACAGTGTGGAAATTTCAGGAATACAGGTGGGTCCATCTATAGGCGAGTATGGCAGCCTTTAGTCTAGATGGTTAGCATATTAACCCTCACACTTTTATTCACTTTCAGATATCACGTGCTCATTCCCAGTTGCTTCAGTATAGAGATAGATACGGGTGGGTTATCGGTTTTCTTTTTAACAGCTGTAGATTTATGATGTACTATAGGAAGTAAGAGAATGGAGAGCCGATATTAATTAAATATCGATATAATTTATGCTTTTATGTAAGTTCGGACTTCTTTTAGATCAAGATTAAAAGCAAAGAACTTGATGTATGTAAAACAGATCCTGCAAGTTTTATCTTGCCTTCTTTCATGTTTTGGTATGAAATCAAAGATCGAATTTTAATATTGGTGGTTTACACGTAAAACAGTACCACAATTATGCTTTGTGTATTTTACTTTTATAGATGTGTCATCTCCATCACAAGGACATCATCAGGGTGATTGCAAGGGTATGTATAGGGAGGACTTTTTTTATGAGGAGGATATTTTTTTATAGCAAATACAATTTTTATCGTAGTTAAGATCTGAACTGAAATGGCTGTGAAACATGAGTCAGAGCAAAGGCTGATTTCTATTGCGTACAAAGTCTTGCGAGGTCGACTTCCTTTTCATACTAACAGCCAAACGGAACCAAAGAAAGCGGTCTTAAACCCCCATAGAAAGTCCCTTATAAGGCCCGTCTACACTAACGGCTAACTGCGAACGGCTGAAAAGTAAACTATTTTTATAATGGTTGCGTGTTTATGTACGCGGATTGGGCCAATGTATACTTCTAAATAGTGTTTATATATAAAGGTTTTGAAAATATTCAATAGTAGTATAAACCGTATCCTCCTCCTACTTTTTATAGCTGATGTGAGATTGTTAAAAATAAACGACTTTTTGTTCACTACGAAGATGGATAATATAAACTTATTTAAAGTAGGTTTTTATATATAAACGTATTTTAGCTATAATATGCATATAACCGAGGTAATTCCATGGTCAGTATTTCATTATGCTTCTCTTGTTATTGTTAGATCAAACGTTATTGTGAACGTAGTATGATCTCAAAGAAGGTGCGGGACAAATATATGCTTGATGGCTTTGCCTTATTCAAAGATTGTTTATAACAATATTGCTGTGTTTCTCTAATCCATGAAAGGTTCTAAGAATTTTATATTCCATTTTTGTAGTTAAATGGATTTGTCGATAAATATAACACCACTCTTTTGGCCGTCCAGGGTGAGTTATGTAATGAAGTAATAAAAAATATGTAATTGTCATACTAAAGAGCGCGGGGGGGGGGCGTAGATTGAGAGGGTTACGTGCTCTCTCCAATTGCCTTGAAATTGCTACTGCACCAAATAGTTTTTCAATCGGTCGAATTTCATATTTTCCTCAAAGAAAAAGGAATTGGCCTCATTCCTTCCGAATGCTTTATGTGTATGGACTCTTTCCTTTTTGATAGATGGAAGTGAGGATGGTGAATTTGTTTCAACGTCATCCCCACTGCAGGTTATTGAAAATTTCTTGGAATGCTTAACAAATGCAGACAAGGATGGACGAATCTTTATTAATAATCAAGGTAACTACGTCTTTCTTATAAGTGAAGTCACTTTTTGGTGAGACTGTGTTAAAGTACTTCAGTTGAAAGATATATTCGTAGACGCTTTGAATGCAAATCACGGTTCTCTTCTCAAACCTTGAACTATAAGCGCACGAGAATGATGGCTAATGATGCGACTTGCAAATTTCTTAACACTGCAATCGATCATGTATTGAATGTAAACTTCAAATTGTCCTTATTATATAGCCTCGGATTTTTTGAAATTCACAAGCTGTTTTTTTCCCTAATTTTCACATTTCAACAGTTTGCAATTTTTGACAATTTCTCAACTGTTTTTGAACGATTTTTTCCTTCACGCCTACTTTCCTATCAGCACTCAGCGCCCTTTTCCCTATAACACTGTTTTCTCTTTTTCTAAGCACCTTCATCATTTTCGATCCCCTTAAGCCTGGTTTTCATATGTCGCAATTCTTCGGCAATGTTCGACGATCTATGGTTGGTGATCAATAAAGTAAATAATTTTCTTCGACAAAAGATTTTATGCATCAATCAGCACCGACAATAGCCATCCCCGATGAATTACGACATATAAAAACCAGGTTTAAGGGGATTTAACCAGGCTTTAACCTTGAGGCCCCAATTGCCCTTCCTTCCTCGCCCCTCTTTATAACGGGCTCTGATATTGCCGGTTGATGGCTGATGTTCGTATGTTATATTTCAGCTGTGCTTAGCCGATGCAGCCTTAAATTTCTTCTCCTCAACCCCGCTGTTTATTTCAAAAGTGTTGTTCAAGAGGCAAGAGCGGTGATCGTTGCAGGGGGAACTATGCAACCGGTTTGATATTTTTTCTTAATTTGGCGTTCTCATATTAGAGTTCTCATTTTTTCATTTCCATGCATGTGACTATTTGCTATTCGCTTCCGAAATATTCGGTTTGGAATAAAAGTTGTACTCTTGCTGATACGTTCGATCTTACTAACATTAGAGGTTTTCGCATCAGATATAGATATATACGTATGCAAGCAAGGTTAGGTTCCGTTAACTATACTAGGTACTTATTGGTGACCTATATTTTCAGCTAATTTAAATTCTTTGCCTTGTTGTAGGTTTCTGAGTTCAAACAACAGTTGCTGTATTCTTGTTCAGTGTCCACTCAGGATATCCACGAATTTTCATGTGGTTAGAATATCATTCCTTAATAGAAAAAGTATACACATGAGTTATGGCCATTTTTATTTTCTTTATCTTAATTGTATAAGAAGACATCTCTTTACAAGATCCCCCCTTTATTTTCAGGCCCAGGTGCTATTGATTGCTTATTGAGTGTTGAACAATTTTCTCCCAATTCCAGGTCATATTATTCCTGAAGAAAATTTATTGGCTGTTACTTTAGCTAAAGGGCCATCTGCAGTTGAATTAGATTTCACTTACCAATCAAGAGAATGCAAGGCAATGGTAAGAATATATGGTCGTCATGCACAACCTTCTGCATCATTATATATATTTTCTGTTCCCTTTGTTGCCAACCTGTGATATACCTATTATATTGCATATGTTTATTTTAAGAGTTATTTTTAAGTTCATTACCTTCAGAGCAAGGCTCCGCAATCCGCAAATACATGTATACTGTACAGATAATTATTAACTTATTTCTAGCTTTTTTATTGAAAGCGGATCTAATACAATTCAACCGTTATACAGTTTTAATTTTTCGTCCAATCCAATCATTACCTTTGCAACTATATCCAGCAGCTGTTATAGTCGTGGAAACTTATACAAAACACGAAATTTAACCAAACATGGAATTGAAGTTTACTAATTATTCAATATAATGATTTTATTATCCTCCTTAATTCTGTAATTTTTGTCTACCTTTTATGATTATCCCTGTATACGCTATATACAAAAAAACTTATTTTTGTGCATTAAGATTTCAGAAATTGGTCGTGTGCTTAGCAACATTTGCAAAGTTGTTCCTGCTGGGTTGGTTTGCTTTTTTCCATCCTATGACTACAAAGAAAAAGTTGTGAAAGAATGGCATCAAAGTGGCGCATTTCAAACGATTGATGCAAAGAAGAAGGTATGTACTAATAATTGTGTAGCTATTTACCTAACATTTGTGTAAACTAGGTAAACCATAGGCGACCCAAAATTGCGCGATATTTTTCGCGCGAGAAATTTTTCGGTAATTTGTCAATGTATATTGTTACATTATATTGACAAATTACCAAAAAAATTCTCGCGCAATTTTGGGCCGCCCATAGCTAAACCAATAAGTTCTTTTGCGCGGTTGTCCAACGCGGTAATTGATACGATTGTGTGAAACTTTAGAATCTCTAACAAATTATAAGTTAAAAAACAACAACAATACTTTTGCATGTGGATCGATTCTCGGCTTTTCCCCTCGTTAGAAGAGCATAAACCAGGGATTAATTATACCGATGCTAAAAGTACACAATAAAGTACTTTCTCTCTTTGTTGATAGATATTTTCAGAACCGAAGAAAGCTGCCCAAGTAGAACAGACCCTGTGTGATTATGGTAAATTTATCAAGGTTGGTGCAGGCATGTATACGAAATGATTCCATGCAATGTTCTTGATCTCCTAACTATTTCTGCCGAACAATTACCTGAGTTGCATGTTTTTGCAGCTGTACCGGTTTGGTCATAGTATTGTTTCTGCATGTCGCTTTTGTGTTCCTAACCCATCATCTGTGCCTTCAATTTTGATATTTCAACCATGCAGAAGACTCAATCAAGTGAAGGGAAGACTTCTCATAATGGCGCCATGCTGCTCTGTGTCGTTGGCGGGAAAATGAGCGAGGGGATAAATTTTTCAGATGATCTGGGAAGGTAACACATTTCCGTATAGTTTATGCACAACAAATTAACGCATGTAGGTCAAGAATAAAATATCAAGTTGTAAAAACATGTGTTGAACACCTTTAATATTCCAAGTCAAGTCGCAACGAAGGAAACAGTTATTTTTCCTCTAATTTGTTATCAAATATCCCGGCATGAAATCAACGTACTTTAATGAGAACAATATTTATTTTTTAGATGTATTGTTGTAGTTGGTCTGCCGTATCCAAACATTCAGTCACCAGAACTTAAAGAGTACATTTCATATCTTGATGCCACTTTAGGGGTATAACATGTAGATTCGATACATTTTTTTAAAATTCGTACAAGTCACAGTAAATATATTAATTTCCTGCCTGTGTGTATTTTAGTCCTATTTTAGAATAGGAGGTATTCAGTGATTTTAGTTGCTTCCCCAAATGAAATATAGCTTTCTTTATTTTCAAGCATAAAGCAGGACAACAGCATTGTGAAAATGTTTGCATGAAAGCTGTAAATCAATCAATTGGTAAATTATATTTCTACTTATTTTTTTGGAGGAAAGGGGGGTTATGGGTGAGGGTTCGAGACAAACCCGCATTTTGGCTGCGGAAAATCACTATTAGATTTTGATTTCCTAGCATGCATGCATGGCATGCACGATAGCACCAGTGGATATATATAGCACGTGCGCATAAAATATACTTCAGTTTTAAAATATAGTTCAATATACTTCAGACGAAATTTGACGCAGTCAGTTGGGTTTAACCCATTGCACAATGAATTGTTATGCTTACTAAATTTTTGTATAATGCTAGTATACGATTATTTGTTTGTTTTTATAGGTCGAGCAATTCGTCACATTAATGATTATGCAACCATAATTTTACTTGATCAGCGCTACGGTCGTTCAAGTGTGCAAACTAAACTACCAGAGTGGATTCGCTCACGGCTGCAGACACACACGTCATTTGGCCCAGCGTTTGGTGCATTGAGAAAGGTATAGTCATACAATAACTGTCATAGGTTACTTGAAAATCTCTTTTTAATCGTAGCATTAAATCATGTTGGTTTGTTTTAATTAAGTTGCATTACATGAAGTAGTATTAAGTTGCATCGCATGAAATTATAATTCTCCCGGAAAGCGGCGTATTCGGCCATGGTCGAGTCGGCCGAAAAAAGGCGTATTCGACCATGGTCGATTCTCCCGGAAAAAGGCGTATTCGACCATGGTCGATTCTCCCGGAAAAAGGCGTATTCGACCATGGTCGATTCTCCCGGAAAAAGGCGTATTCGACCATGGTCGATTCTCCCGGAAAAAGGCGTATTCGACCATGGTCGATTCTCCCGGAAAAAGGCGTATTCGACCATGGTCGATTCTCTCGGAAAAAGGCGTATTCGACCATGGTCAATTCTGCCGGAAAACAACAAAAAGTTATATAGTCACCGACCAGTGACTAACCTTAAGAGACAGTGAATCTTGACCAATCAGAATGCAGGGAAATCAATGTATTTATTCCATATCAATATTAATTTATAATGTATAATAAATACGTTTTTGTGTTATTTTATCCTGAGAATATGTCAATAATTTAGTAATTTAGTATGTCAATAGTTTACATAATTCAACAACAACAATTTATTTCCACCATAAGCTTACAATATATATAAATATAACAGACATTCTTGATACAGTTTTAATAGTGACAGGAAAGCTGAAATAGCTCGTGAATAACCATCGCAGTTTTCGTAGCATTTTTTCTTTTTTTTTAGTTTTTTCTTAAACGTTTCTCTCGTGTCAGAGAGGAGGAGATGTAAACTGAGACATGTTCTGAGAGTTTAACGTTGTTTTGGTTTTGGTACCTAGCGAAGATTTTCCATGGACAACCTGTTTTTCAGTCCAGTTGAAATATTGGAAATGGATATTAAGATTTAAGTTCGTTTTGAGTACTGATTGCTGGTACGTTTAGTTCCTGGAAATGATTACAAGAATTGTTGCAGGTATGGTCGCACTTTCCCCGAGTCCTGGCATCACTGTTAAAGCATCCTGCAAAAAAATAAAATATTTCAAGTGTTTAATCATCCTCGTTCCTGCCTGTGCCAAAAGCCCTGGGGTAATCAATTTCAACTCGATTTGATTGGTCGTGGGAAGTAAACTATTACTGTGACCGTTACGTGTCTATTTTTTGAGATTCTGTACAAATCTCGAGAAGAACGCTTGTTCTTTCCGACTATGCCTTTGCGTATTTACGAAATAAATTTAAATAAATAAAATAAAAGTCAGAGGCGATCATTTCATATGACACGCTGATTTGTGCATCGATTTACTCTACAATTTTACAATTGCGACCAATCAGATCGCAGTTGCATGGCATTGATTTCCCCTGGGAACGATGTTCACTAGAAAATGTTATATATTGAGTGTTATAAATGTTATATATTGATGTTCACTAGAAAATGTTATATACTGAGTAGAATTACATTCCTTCATGAAAACAATCCATTTAAGCACATAAAATCATACTTTCACGAATTTCAGAAAAATCGGTTACGGGGGACCAAAGGAAAAATCGTAATTTTCGTCAGTTTTTCGAAATTTGAAAATTCGGTTTAAAATACCTCGAAATGCTTCAAAACTGAGTAGAATTACATTCCTGCATGAAAACACTCCCACGCTGGTCCAACTTAGCTAAGTTTCTCCCACTCGTGCAGGCTCATATTGTCAGCGGACAACTTACATAAAATTGAGAGCAAGGCGTAAAACGAAAAGCTTTTAATTTTTTATGCGAAAACCGCTGAAAAACTGAGCCCTCTTTACCGGGAGAAAATTTGCCGAATATGACCAACGTGTCCATTTGAACACAAAAAATCATACTTTCACAAATCTCAAAATTTCAGAAAAGTCTGTAACGGGCGACGAAAGGAAAATCGTAATTTTCATCAGTTTTTCGAAATTTAAAAATTCGCTTCAAAATACCTCGAAATGCTTCAAAATGATTAGAATTACATTCCTTCATGAAAACAATCCATTTGAACTCAAAATAATACTTTCACAAATTTCAAAAATTCATGCAAATCGGTAACAGGGGACATTTCTGCATGAAAACACTCCATTTGAACACATAAAATCATACTTTCACAAATTTCAAGATTTCAGAAAAATCGGTAACGGGGGACGAAAGGAAAAATCGTACTTTTCGTCAGTTTTTCGAAATTTGAAAATTCGGTTCAAAATACCTCCAAATGATTCAAAACTGATTAGAATTACATTCCTTCATGAAAACAATCCATTTAAAGACATAAAATCATACTTTCACAAATTTCAAGATTTCAGAAAAATCGGTAACGGGGCACCAAAGGAAAAATCGTAATTTTCGTCAGTTTTTCGAAGTTTAAAAGTTCGGTTCGAAATGCTTCAACACTGAGTAAAATTACATTCCTTCATGAAAACAATCCATTTGAACACATAAAATAATACTTTCACAAATTTCAAAAATTCGTGCAAATCGGTAACGGGGGACCAAAGGAAAAATCGTAATTTTCGTCAGTTTTTCGAAATTTCAAAATTCGGTTCAAAATACCTCGAAATGGTTCAAAACTAAGTAGAATTACATTCCTTGATGAAAACAATCCATTTGAACACATAAAATCATATTTTCACAAATTTCAAAATTTCAGAAAAATCGGTATCGGGGGACCAAAGGAAAAATCGTAATTTTCTTCAGTTTTTTAAAATTTCAAAATTCGGTTCAAAATACCTCCAAATGCTTCAAAACTGTGTAGAATTGCATTCCTTCATTAGAACAATGAAGAGCAGGGACCTTGCAGGTCTAGGCAGAAAGGTTACTCCAGTTCAATGACTTCAATGGCAAATATTTCTCAAGGTTTCTCGAAAAGTTAATTCAATGAAATTATTGGGCTGGTTAGTATACACCAAATATACTTCCTGCAGTCGAATGGACTAATAATAGTATCGACGGCCTAGAAATGAAATAAACTTGCAGGGTATTTATTATCTGCTAGTAGGGCTGGGTGGTAAATCATGCACACTCACAAAAATGCAGAATATTTCGCGTAGTATAATCGGTTCTGTTGTATTGTTTTTTGTTTTCCTGAAAGAATGTACGTACACTTAGTTTCAAACCATTTCGATGTAGTTTAAACTGTATTTTGATAATTTTTACCTTATCATTTTGTCCGTAATTGAGGAATTTTTTAATGTCATAAAAACGAACCTATAATACGCTGAAAAACGAAAGAGGTTAAAAATATTAAGAGGATAAATATTTGAAACCAATTTCAGCATGTCTACACATTTTGTTAATTAAATATTTACTAAGACAAAAACTCTTACCATTTTGGCCAAAATTGACGATATTCGAAAATTTGAAGATTGCTTCAAATATTTACTATGCTGAAAATAGATTCAAATATTTAGTAAGAAGGTTTTTTAACATATTTTCGTTTGTTTTTGGAACATTAAAAAATTCGCGAACTTCGCCCAAAATGGTAAGGAGTACTTTTTACCATTTTGGCCAAAATTGACGATTTTTGAAAATGTTTCTCAAAATAGCTTTAAATACTGATTAGGACTCATCTCTTTGGTTTTTAGCATGTATTGTATTTGGTTTTGGCGAAATATTATGAGGTAGCCTTTTAGCCGAAATTGACGATTTTCGAAAATTTTCTAAAAATGTGACAACATGCTGAGAATGGCTTCAAATGTTTCCTAGGACAAAACTCTTTGGTTTTTGAGCATATTTGGTTCGTTTTTCGAACATTGATAAAGTCGTCCCACAATCACCTCATTGAGCGATGTCATAGTATACTAACTACAAAGCCTTCGACTCTTGGAGTCATATCCACTGCTTTTAATTTTTGGTCTCTGCGTATTCCTTGCAACTTTTAACGGGGTGTTGTCGGCTAGTTTGTATAATAATATAAAGATGGTATTGACACTAGTCCCGGTGGCCTAGTGGTTAAGGCTACGACCCTGCGATGTTGTATGCCTAGGTTCGGTCCCTGCTTGGGAAAGGTTCGATTGTTTTTTTTCAAACTCCTCGAAAAGGATTAGGTCAAATAAAGAACAATAGCTTTCGACAAATGTCATGTGGTGGTCTAGTGGTTAAGACGTTGGTCCCTCAATCCGAGGAAAAATGTTTCAACCCAAAGCAAAAAAAATTAGCTTGAAAAATTTCGGTGTGATTTGGAAGGTTTAAAACAGTTATACAGAATAATATTTATAATAAAAGAATAATAAAAGGTTGGTATCAACGTACGATCCGGTGGTCGAGTGGTTAAGGCTACGGCCTGCCAGGTTGTAACCGTAGGTTCGAATCCTGCATGGGAAAGGTTCAATTTTTCCACCCGAAATTACTATTTAATTTAAAATTCGTCGAAAAGGATTTAGTCAAATAAAGAACAATAGCTTTCGACAAATGATGTGGTGGTCTAGTGGTTAAAGCGTTCGTCTCTTATTTCAAGGCCGACGTTTCAACTCCTAGCAAAGCAAAAAAATTAAACTGAAAAATTTCGGTGTGATTTGCAAATTTTAAAGCAGTTAAAACACTCCTCGGACTTTCGGAGAAGACTGTAAATTGAAAAAAAGTTTGAAATAAAAAAACTGAAGAAAAATTCTCGCGTTCAAAAGTACTTGAAAATTGAAAAAAAAGCATAAGTAAAAACAATTTAAAAACATGTGTTTTCTAAAAGGCTGAAAATTTAAAGACAGAAAAAAAATTAAAAATTTCCCGCTTTTAAAAAACACATGTTTACCTACCTTTTTTTTCACGAAAATTTGACAGGGTGATTTTCTCGAGAGTGAAAAAATTTAATTTTTTTCACTTTTTTGAAATTCTCTTAGATTTTTTTCTTTTAGAAAAAGTATTTTGTCTTGGGCTACCTGTGTCTGTCTTGGGCTACCTGTATCTGGCTTGACACAGGTAGTCCAAGACAAAATACTTTCGCGTCCAAAAAAAAATCTAAGATAATTTCAAAAAAGTGAAAAAAATTAAATTTTTTCAGTCTCGAGAAAATCACCCTGTCAAATTTTCGTGAAAAAAAATTAAGTTAAGTAAACATGAGTTTTTTAAAAGCGGGAAATTGTTATTTTTTTTTTCGTCTGACTTTCTTCATTTTCAGGCTTTTTAGAAGACATGTGTTTTTAAAACTTATTTTACTTGTGTGCGCTTCTTTCAATTTTCAGGTACTTTTGAACGCAATAATTTTTTTTGTGTTTTTTTATTTCAAATTTTTTTCAATTTACAGTCTTTTGGAAAGGCCGAAAAGCCTTTTAACTGTTTTAAACATTCCAAATCACATCGAAATTATTCAGGCTAATTTTGTTGCATTGCCAGGAGTTGAACGTTTGTCCTCGAATTGAGAGACGAACGTCTTAACCACTAGACCACTGCGTCATTTGTCGAAAGCTATTGTTCTCTATTTGACCTAATCCTTTTCGATGAATTTTAAATTAAATAGTAACTTCGGTGGGAAAAATCGACCTTTCCCATGCAGGATTCGAACTTACCCTTACAACCTGGTAGGCCGTAGCCTTAACCACTGGGCTACCGGGAGGACGTATATATTAAGGCTGCTAACGACATACAATCCGATGGCCCAGTGGTTAAGGCTACCGCCTACCAGGTTATAAGGGTAGGTTCGAATCCTGCATGGGAAAGGTTCGATTTTTCCCACCGAGGTTACTATTTAATTTAAAATTTATGGAAAAGGATTAGGTTAAATAGAGAACAATAGCTTTCGACAAATGACGCAGTGGTCTAGTGGTTAAGACGTTCGTCTCTCAATCCGAGGACAAACGTTCAACTCCTGGCAATGCAACAAAATTAGCCTGAATAATTTCGATGTGATTTGGAATGTTTAAAACAGTTAAAAGGCTTTTCGGCCTTTCCAAAAGACTGTAAATTGAAAAAAATTTGAAATAAAAAAACACAAAAAAAATTATTGCGTTCAAAAGTACCTGAAAATTGAAAGAAACGCACAAGTAAAATAAGTTTTAAAAACACATGTCTTCTAAAAAGTCTGAAAATGAAGAGAGTCAGACGGGAAAAAAATTAACAATTTCCCGCTTTTAAAAAACTCATGTTTACTTAACTTAATTTTTTTTCACGAAAATTTGACAGGGTGATTTTCTCGAGACTGAAAAAATTTAATTTTTTTCACTTTTTTGAAATTCTCTTAGATTTTTTTTTTGACGCGAAAGTTTTTGTCTTGGGCTACCTGTGTCAAGCCAGATACAGGTAGCCCAAGACAGACACAGGTAGCCCAAGACAAAATACTTTTTCTAAAAGAAAAAAATCTAAGAGAATTTCAAAAAAGTGAAAAAAATTAAATTTTTTCACTCTCGAGAAAATCACCCTGTCAAATTTTCGTGAAAAAAAATCAAGGTAAGTAACGTGAGTTTTTTAAAAGCGGGACATTTTTAAATTTTTTTTTCCGACTTTTATTTTCAATCGTTTTAGAAGACACATATTTTAATCTTTTTTTACTTGTGCTTTTTTTTTAAATTTTAAAGTACTTTTAAACGCT